CATTAATTATATACCTATTTGTAATTTTTCCACTATAATCTACGACGGTTTCATGGAATCCAGAATTTTTGTTTATACTTTTTCTTTGACATAAAAATAAGTACATTATTTGAGTTTGAAATAACGTGAATTCACTTTTTTGTTTTTTTTATAGTGACACTGAATAATGAAATATCTAAACATTCAATACATAAATGAATGAATGAGTATATTTTATTTGCGTTATACAATATAGGAAATAAGCATGACAATTTACAAACACAACGATACAATTGTATAAGTACAGTAAGGCGATCTTATTGCTGAGAGCAATATTTTTAAGACATTTAAAATATTTGAATTTAGAATGCAGAATTGTTTATTTATGAATATTTTCTTCTTCATAATAAAAAATTTTTTGTTTCGCAAATTTAAATTATAAGGACTATTTAAAATTTATAATTAATGATCGTGGATATTTTCTTTTAATACTTTTATAATATTGTTATTAAGAAGTTTCTATTTTGACATAATATGTAACTGCAAGTATAATACATAATTCAATTTGATATTGTAACTACCTTATTTCGAAATCGTAGCAGTATTTTATTTAAGTTTATTATTCCAATGACGTAATTTTGTATATAACTTAAATTTGCATGCCAAAACTGGCTGAATGTTGCAACCACATTTATTGTAAATAAATATTATCATTATTATTACAAATAAAAACGGTAATTCTGTTTGTTTTCGTCAAAAAATTAATATGGGATAATACTGAAGCTATTTCCCAATAATCACCTATAAAAGTGATTGTGAAAATCGTTTCAAACGAAGTTTTGGCGAAGTATTCGCGTGCTACAGTTACAACAAAAAGAAAATTCAAATGAATTGGGACTAATTAAACTCCTTTAGACCTCGCTTACAAATTAAAATTTTAACTTGAAACCTTAGATTATATCAAAAACTTTCTTATACAGTCTCAATGAAGGAAACAAACTTTATTTTTAGTCTTAGTTCACGTAAACTACCATATATTTAAGTTATAATCCATTGTTTTGGTATTGGCTTCAGTTTGTTTGTTGAAGTAAGCAGGTTCATGTTCGCACGTTAAATACATAATTACTATTTGTATATAAAATAACAGAGATGTTTTGAACTTAACTTTACTAGCAATTGTTTGTGGTTTCCTCCGTGTTATTGAATGTTTAGTTTCCTTCCTACTAATATTACGAGTATAAATGTGAAAGTTAGTAACGATGTTTCGATGTTTGCTACTCAAGCAAACTTACACAGCTGAATGGATTTGAATTTTGTATACTATAAGGTTCCTATAATAAATAAATATATAGGATACTTTTTAGTTTTTATTCTACTTCAGAGAATAAATAGTTTAAAGTTTCACAAAAGAAACAAACTTCAATTGTGGCAAGACCTTTTGATTTAAGAACTAAACTCCTGAATGAGATATGGTGACCAAAATATAGGCTATTTTTCTTGTTGTCAGAGGTTTCTACCAGCCATTATTTGGTTCCAGTCTCCAATTGCCATTTTGTTCATCCAAAATGCGAATGTTAATACTAGACTCCGAACATCGATCTAATAATCTGAAGTTGCCTAGTTTAGAGGTGAAAAACGTATCGCAAAATATGCGTGAACAAAATAGCAGTCGGAGATTGATGTCTAATAACTTTTTGTAGGTTGTAGAATTTTTGGTAGTTATAGTGATGGCCTATTTTCGAGTGTTGGCGTTCACACACATACTAATGGTAGCGGAATTAAACAAAAGGTGGCCCATCTTCGAGTGTTAGTGGTCACACAGATACTAATGGTAACAGAATTGAACAAAATAATTCTAATTAAATAACCAGTGGACTTACGCACGATTGTTATCTTACAGAACTAGGTGTCCCTAGTTCAGTAAAATAAATAAATAAAGATGAAGTGAAAATACACTTATTTTCTGTTAATAAGTATTAATGCAAATATTTTTTTCATCTAAGTATAAAAGTGATACTTCAATAAAAAAATTAAGCATAGATTATCAACTCATTGTGCCAAGTTTAGAAAAACAGATTATACAGACTTTTCTCCGTATTTATAAAGTTCTTCCAGCTTTAAAACTTATTAAGTTTTATTTTTATTGGATAAGCCAAAGAAAGTATTGAGAGAGGCGAAGTTTGAGAAGTTTTGTATTAATCCTTCGCGGATTACACAACGTCAGTATTACAAGTACCGGTGTTTACAAGTAGGTTTTTTTTTTGTCACTGCAAGGTATTATGTGACATTATTATGACAGAAATTGTGGGGTTTCCGTGTCTTTTAACATCGAATTACGTGGGGGCATAGGTACTTATCTTATTGATTAATTTAAGTGACAATAGGCTCGCACTTGAAAACTCCGACCGGATGATTGTGATGTGGGTTCGAATTTTGTCGGATCAAGTTCCTAATTTGATTTGAATTGTCGACATTTATGGTGCAATGATACTTATGCGATATGACAATTTTATAAAGAGCATACTAGAAGAAAAAGTACAGGGCAAAAGAGGAAGGGGTAGATCGTGAAATATCTACATGGGACAGATAAAGGAAACATTAGGTCGTATAGGGAGGCCAAAGATATGGCCTGGAAAAGAGATAACTGAAAGAAAATGCATGAATTAGTAACACCGATACAAGAAAACTCTTAATTTTTTTTTTATACAACTTAGAATGGCAAACAAGCTGACGGCTCATCAGATGGAAAGTGGTAACCGTCGCCTATAGACATGAGTAGTACTATAAACATAACAGAGTATACTGTCTCGCCCATGATACTCCCCATGCGTTGCCATTCCTGAAGCCATTCTTAAATAAACCAAAGAAGTGGAGCAATGATATTTACTTATTACATATCCGCCTTCAATAATGATGTAAAATGATAAAGTAGCAGTGTAGGATGAAATTTTTAGAATTTTTTTTTGTAATGGGTGATAATGGAATATTAAGCCCATATTTGCTAATTGTATATGCTGATATAGTACCAGTGATAGATGATAAGTGAGAATAAAAAGATAGATCGATTATCCTACCGTAATGAATTCACTTGGAATCAAGCACGATGTTTATGCTGTTATTATAATGGTTTCCAGGAGGAACTGATACACTAAGTACATTGCCAACAATGGAAACTAGAGCAATATTTGTTTTTTTTTAATAAAATTTGGCAACAAGCTGACGGCCTATCTACAATAGAAAATAATAATCGTTGCCTATAGACATGAACAGCACCGTGGACATCACAGAATGACGATGAAGTGATGGTTTTATGGTACTTACCTCATATGTATTGCCATTCCTGAGGATTACGGTTTTTTTCGTCAAATCAAGACACATCCATGCCAGTACAACTAAAATATCACTAATAGTTCGTTCCCTTTTTTCCCTTAACACATGGGCCATACAATTGTTGTGGTTATATAGCACTTTATTATAAATAAAATTAGTATAATATATATTTATATTATACGAATATATAGCGGACTTAATGCTAAAAGTATTCTCTCCCAGTCAACCATAGAGAAGTGTCAGAATACTCGAATGCGGTACTAGTAATTATTGATATACATACATATTAAAATTACATATATAAACGTATATGTAATTAAAATATATTTTAAATTTTCAACGTAAATCGATTTATTGCATACCAAAACTATATCTTGCTGTGTGGCCCCAGTATAGAATTGGCGACCCTTTTCTTCCTGCGGGTATCGTAAGAAAATAAGAGAACTAAATGGTCGCGAGAGAAGGAGTAGCGTCTATCTTAAAATATTACCAAAGTCTAACTATGGTTGCCAATCAGCCTGCCAAGCGTAGCAACTAGCGTTCAGCGAAACTAAATAGTTTTACCAAAGGAACATTGAAAAGTGATAAATAAATTTTAGCCTCCCATATTAACACGGAGCGTTCACTTATTAAGTTAGTATGGAAGACATTTTTTTGTTTGTTATGATTTTTTGATTTACGCCTAATCTAATATTATTCTATAGCATGGATACATTATTACTTTTAAGTACATAATATGATATACATATATAATATGTAAATTATATTCCATTAATACAAATATTTAAAAAATTAAAAGGTACTTATATGATATATGTTTAAAAAATTAAAAGACTGAAAAACTGCGTCATCAGGAATAAAACAAAAGCCACAGATGTAAATTTGAAAATAAAAAGACTCAAATGGAGATGGGCAGGGCACATGATCAGAGGAGATGACAAATGGAGTAAGGAAGATGGTATCCCAGGGAAGGCAAAAAGAAAAGAGGTAGACCCTGCATAAGATGGGATGAAGACATCAGGGAAGTGGCAGGAAAAATGTGGGACAGAGTGGCTCAGGATAGGCGAGAGTAGAAACGGTTGGAGGAGGTTTTTGCCAAATGGCAAACAGATCTTAAAAAATAAGCAAGAAGTAATTATTAAAATAAGTTATTTTGTTTTAAATTTTTTTAAATTTTATGTTTGTTTTTTAATGGCAGTACTAAGTTGATCTGAATAAAGGTTGTATTATTATATATGATAAATGTGATTTTTTTATACGACTAAGGTGGTAAACAAGCATACGGCCCACCTGACGGTGTTATAAATATCCATGTGGCTACACGAATTTGGATAATGTTCAGTACAATGATAGACCGTAATCTTAATTCATGTAAACAAAAGGAGAAATATCGAAGAAGTTATTACACAATATTTTATATTAATATAAAAGTATCACTTATTTTTATAGAAATAAATTTTTACTATTTCTATGTCATAACTTGAGAGCTATAGATTAAATTCATCTTAATAAATTATTATAAATAAAATGTAATGAAGTTCTATAATCTTTAACTGGGTAAATGAGAACTCATCCTTATTTTAAACATTAAATTCATATTTTAAAATCACGATATTTGAATTTAGAATTGTCATTTATTTTTTAAACATTCCACGAAATAAAAAAAAAAGTTTGTAAATAAAAAGCCTTACCCCATCGCCGTGTTTTCTATAATGCAGTTGAGACAACAATAGCCACCACAAAACCAGCTCGACAGACGTCCACCGGGAAATAGTCCACAAAAATAATACAATCCAACGTTTATAAGGACATATTTGAAATTCAATGCGATTGTGAAAAATGGATTCGAATTTGAAACCGAAATCAGGGGCATGTGTTTATATCTAAATTATGCAGTCCGACAAGTGGAAGGTTGCATTTTTATTTATGATTTCTATTAGCACTCTTTTATTCTATACGATCTGCTATTCCTTACGTCAAATATTGCACTGAATGAAACATCCTAAACGGTACCGCACTATTCTTGTATACTAAATTGTATACAATTACTATACAATAGCTCTTATTCCCTGTTAATTATTAATCGCTTCTCACCAAATTCCAATAATCACAATTGATATTCGATAGTAACGGACTCGTTTCAGATTTTAATTAATAAAATTTGAAAACGAGTGGAATGTTAGGGCGAGGTCACACCGCGCGCCCGGAAATCGTACCGATTAATCGTAATCGAAAGAATCGAGCTTCCAATATGTGCAATGTTCGTGTCGCACGCGCCGCGAGCCGACTGCTCGGATCATGCGTGTGCAGTGGGAAGCTAGCGATGCATCGGCGCCGCTATCAAATAAACAAAAAGTGCACAAGGGTGTGCCCGAGCTTCGATACGATTCGAGCTTCGCAAACGCACGAAATGTTAATACGATCGGCGATTTCGTGAAAGTGATAATGCAATTTGAACGTGCTTTAATCGGATTATTCGGATGCGGAAATGTGTTTTTTATTGTGCACAGTTTATTCTCACGTTTTATGGACGATTGCACTTTAATTAAATTATTTAACAATTCTCAACCTACTAAATAATAATAATCAACTAAATATGATGCCATTGTCAACGCAAATTAATTTCATGTTAAACGATATTTAAATAAATTCTGAATAGATTTTAAATGATTTTACTCTGTACAATAAATCTATAATAATTATATTATGACAGATTTTTTTTAAGAATTAAACTTATTACATAATAAATTTGTACTGGCGCATTAACTTCGTGTATTTGGTAATTTTATTTTAATAAATAAAATAGATTTGCATTTAATAACAACACAAAAAATATAATGTTTACAACCCTAAATATATACTATTATCAGTTTTAAATCATCCTGTTTAAGTGCCATTTAATTAATCGAAGCTCTAGTATAAAAAAAGTTATGCGCACGCGCAGAATCCAAGAAGCGGATTCGCTTTTAAATATAACCAGTGACAATGGACAGTCCGTCACCCGTTCTAAATCAAGGATACTATATTTGACTTACACGAGACATCGACACTTTAGTCGTTTATAAAGGCTAATTTACACTGTGATACTAGAAGTGAAAAACTAGTTTTAAGCCGTTATTTTCAATAACAGTTTCACTAGTTATCGAGTAATTATTTAAAAATTTTTAAATAGAGATTTTCTATTTACTCGCATTTCTCTTTATCTTATATATTACGCTTATTTTCTCTAATTATGGATACATTTTTATTTCTTGCTATGGTTTCTTGATAGGGTTTATTCCTGTATTGTTTCCTCATTAAATTTATCGTATTAGAAATAACTGTTCAAATATTCTAAATCGAATATATCAATGAGACGAATCTAAATTTTAAAATAAGTATGACAAGACAATTTAGACAATTTTATTTTGTAACTAGCTATTTACCCGCTAATTCATTCTAGTGTATTTTTCACTTCTAGTTTGTGAATCAATATAAAACGTACACTAATTTTTAAGTAAATTTTTTTCTTCTGAAAAAAATTTCTGAAACCATAATTAATTTCATGCAGTAGTTTTTGTGTGATATTAAAACAAACATATAAACAGACAAAATATAAAAAAAAATTTAGACCTCAGTTAGTTTTAAGTCTTTAAGACCTTAAGTCTACCTAAAAAAAAATATTTTTTTAATATCTCTTATGTACCGACATCATCTAATTGCAATTTTATTATACGAATAATTTTTTTTAATGGATAATAATGGAATGGTAAGCCCTCCAACTCTAACGGTTTACGCTGGCGAGGTACCACGAGGGATGATAGGTGAGAATGAAATGGCAGGTCAGTTAGCCCATCATGTTGAATACACCTAGAATTCAGCACGATATGGTGGGGCCACATGGAGGTCGACCTGATAGGGTATATTACTAGCAATGGGGCTATTAGACCTCATTACTAACAATCCCTTTCTCCCTCTTAATTCGGTTTATTTCCAAAATTAGTTTTACTCATGTAAGTAAATTCGTAATCTAAATTATGCTTTATAGCGAATGCCTTCTATTAGAAGTAGCCACGTTTATAGCCGCCTGTAAATCTTCGATTTAATATATAGATGATCATTCAGCGCCTGCGCAGTTTCTTGCCTACTAATAATTATTATTTTACTGCCCGTTTGCTTACTAATTTTACTTATCGTGTTACATTTAATGTTAACTCAGCTTGTAAAGGAAATAAGGTTTAAATGGATATATTAGTTAAATTTATTCTAATTTGTAGATTTCATTGTATTTGGCATTTAATTTTACGCGTGTCTTTGTTTTGGTGAATTTCTTATAATAATTATTACTTATCTATGTTACATAGTAGAATGCTTTTACAAATATATTAACATGATTTTAAGCAATATTTCTACCAATGAAATTAAACATTTTTCTCATGAAATTTTTATCCCGTTTATATTCATATATAAACGGGATAAAAATGTAAAAAATACAATTTTCTATTACTCTGCTCTGACTAATTAATCGTTTGATTTGTCGTAATGGAAAAGAAAGATTATCAAGTAACAAGGTCATTCAGAAAAGCGCAGTATAAAGCGAATTTTTTTTTAATCATTTTAATTTAGGAGTTTTATCCTATACCAGTAAGGATATGACAGCAGTAATACTAACCTTGGATTAAAACAGTTGCAGTAAATCTCGGGATGGATGTAGCTTAAAACTGAAGTTGACAAGAAAATAGTAAATGAGAGAGACTTATATTCAATACTGGATGATTGTTTTTTTTAATGGGTGAAAATGGAATAGTAACCCCCTGCGCTATCACTATATGCTGGTGGGGTACCAGTGATAGATGATAAGTGAGGATGAAGGCAGTTCAGTTGACCCGTCGTAAAGAACTCGACAAGAATTTTCTGGTCGATAATTTTCTGGAGAAACCGCATGGAGGTCGACTTAACAATGGGGCTGCTGGACCTTATTGTATTCAATCACTTTTCCCCCAAGGTGGAATGGTGTACCCACCCATACTAACTATACACAAAGGCAGGGTAATAGGAAAGGAAAAATCTATGAGAACGAAGTCAGGTCAGTTGGCCCACGGTATGAAGATCGACCTGATATAATTCCTTCCTCTCAGTAGACCATGATTATCATTATTATCATGAGCATATCAACTGTTCACTGTCCACTGAGATAGGCCTCATCTTTAGCGGTTTTTTTATACAACTTAGAATGGCCAACAAGTTGAAGGTCCACCTGATGGAAAGTGGTAACCGTCGCCTATAGACATGAGCAGTACCATTGACATAACAGAGCATACTGTTTCGCCCATGATACCCCCCATGCGTTGCCATTCCTGAGGACTCGGGTGTTATTCCTCTGTACCCTGTAAATTCACGCCATATCCCACCCTTCAAACCGAAACACAGCCGTGCAAACACAACTGCTTCACGGTTGAAACACGAATGGGACAGAGGTACCCAAGCAATCGACTTTTGTACAAAGTCTCCCTCTTTTGCCTGTAGTTGTCACACTTAGTAGTCGAACTGTTAGGCTACAGTGACATTTTAAGGGGGGCACTGCTGCCTATGTGGAAGAGGTGCCTTGGCACCCTCTCCTTTCCCGTGGGCCACTGCCCATTACATGTCGGCACTATATGGTTTGACCGTGAGTAGTACATTGAATTAGAATGTTTTAAATATCATTAAAGTCGTTTGAATCAACTTTGGTAACAGAGAAACTAATGTAATACAAGTAGATCAAAAAAATTAAAAATATTGACTTTTAAGGAATACAACTGTAAAACTGCATCCAATTTGATACAGTAATTTTTGTGTGATGCTAGAATAATAATATAGATTGAAAGATTTAGGAATATACTGCAAACATAGAAAAAAAAACATTTTTTTTTTATTTATTGTTTTGGCTTTTATTTCTCTTATTAAGAACTTATAATACTTTTCTTTAAAATATCTCTTACTACCAATCCACTCCGACTTTGCACAAGTAAATAGAAAGATTAATCAGTACTTTAATTTGCTTTAATAGACACCTTTTTGATTCTTTAGATTATATTAATTTTTAACCAGAGGGAGACTTTGTACAAAAGTCGATTGCTTAGGTACCTCTGTCCCATTCGTGTTTCTATCGTAAAGCAGTTGTGTTTGCATGGCTGTGTTTCGGTTTGAAGGGTGGGATATGGCGTAAATTTACTGGGTACAGAGGAATAACACCCGAGTCCTCAGGAATGGCAACGCATGGGGAATATCATGGGCGAAACAGTATGTTATATCCATTGTACTGTTCATGTCTATAGGCGACGGTTATCACTTTTTCATCAGGTGGGCCGTCAGCTTGTTTGCCATTCTAAGTAGTATAAAAAATAATAATGTAATTTTCCTAGTTATCTCTAATTTATTTGAAAATAATATAACGCTTATATTATTTGCTGATAATGTAGCTATTTATAGATGAAAGATTTTTAAAATCGGTTAAGTAGTTTTTGAGTTTATCCATTACAAACAAACATACATACAATATAATAAACAAACATATATATTATAGATAGGTACTGACTGAATTGTTTTACATTACTTATTAGTCGTCAGATTGATTTACAAAGGACAGACGCTTGTCTTCCTTTTTGTCTTGTTTTTCTTGTTTTTGTATATTTTTTGTGCACATTCCTCACATATCCTTAAGAAGAACTGACTACATGTATTATTTCTTTTTTGCAATACACCGCTTTACGTGTTCAAACATGTGTTTTTATGGGTTTTCTTTTTAACTTTTTAAAAAAGTAGAATAATTTTATTTTTTCTACATATATATATACCAAAAATAGTTTGGAGAAGGTTACAGGCTTTTTATTACGATCAGTGAATATATCCTGATCACGCGAACGAAGTCGCGGTTAAAAGCTTGTTACAATAAGGTGGGATTTTAAGAAATTGTAGGCAGGTATTTTTTTTTAATATTCCAAATATATATATATATACCAAAAATAATTTACAATACTGTAAAAAGAAAATTCAAGAACGTTCACATTTTAAAAATGGATATTTGCTATTTTCAACCGACTTCAAAAAGAAAGAGATTCTTAATTGGATTGTATTTTTTTATGTTTCTTACCTCATAGCTTTAGTCATAACGTCAGTTATAAACCAATTTGGAAAACTCTTTTCCTATCTGAAAGGATATACCTACGCATTGTATTCATAGAAAATTTATCAAAATTGATTCCGTAGTTGAGTATAATAATAAGGCCAAAGTGGTCCCTGTGACTGAAAACGGTCAGGACTCAACCATCAGTTTAGTTTTTAAATAAAAATAACATGTTTTGTCACTATTGAAA